TGCGAGACGCTTTTGGCTTATCTTTCGTCGTACTGTATCTCCTTATTTTTTCCACCAGACATGGATTGTCAAGTTAGCTTGGAGAGGGCTATTACTGGACTTTGAAAGAAGCGAGGAAGAGTTCATTTTGAACAGAGTGGGCATGCTCCATACTTGCAGCATTACCGTGCTTCGAAGGGTGTATTCTTATGTTACGCCTGTTCACAAATACGAATTCTCCACTCATCTTCTGGAAGAATTTACCGAATATGAGAGTCGCTTTGAAGATCACACAGAGTGGGTCTCTATAGAACAGAATGTATTGAATAATTAAGCAGCCTTGTGTTGGCTGCGTCCTAATAGAGAGCAGAACTGTGACGTCACGTTACCATGGTAGCACTATTTCTGGATGACAACGACAACGACGACAACGACGGCAAGGAGAACGACAAAAAATGATATGTTTATATTAACAAACAACAACTTTGCACGTGCATCGCGCTTTTTTGTACATTTCTTTGCCGTCGTTGCACCACTACGACATGAAACTTACTAACTTCACGAGCCCGCTTTATGGAGTAGGTAAACACAACACAAAAATTGTCCCTTTCATTTTCTAAACTTAGATATCGTTAGATACGGTCCCAAAGAAAGTTTCGCCAAGATTTGCCAAATTAAATGATATTGAATAAGATCGGTGAAGTTTGAAATAGTGCGAATAGACTTTTAAGTGACTTTTTCGGTTTGTTGTCATCCAAAAATTTTGCTACCATGGCAACTGAAGTAACCACTTCTTCTCTCTATACAGACTCCAATTTTGCTTTCCTGTAATTTTGTAAAGAGTTCGGTGCTGTACGTTTTTGTTCAGTACCGGTGTAGATGAATGTATTTTGTAATTACCGCAGGTTGAGATTGCGGTGTTTTAGTCGTTTAAGATTCTTAGGTGAATTTATTCGGTTCAATCTTTATGAATAAAAAGAGAATGATCAACAAAGTCTTGCTTCCTTACTCGTGCATCGCATCACAAGTTACTGGGTTTAATCATTGATAACGATTTTAGCTTTGAAACACGGACTTTTGAGGCATATTAGTCCTTATCTCAAGCAAAGCCACGAATTAATTTTCTTCGGCCGCTGTTATAAAGTCAGGTATGTTGTACCTCAGTCCAACCTGGTCATCTTGCAGTAAGAAATTGCTAGAAAGAGTCTTACGGATGCAGAAGACAGCTGCACGCATTATATTGAACGCTGAAAGAAGAACACGCAAGTTAACCATGTTAAATGAACTGGATTCCATTCTTTATTGAGGATATATAAATAGATGTTCTATACTATTTTTGCTCCTTTTTTATTGCCTACTGATATTAATTTTTATCTTTTTGTAACGGCAGTGTAAAATTATTTTAATATTTGATTTTATGTTTTATAGAGGGCCACACGTTTATCAGCTTCATCATAACTGTCACGTGTTTACCCTCTTACCTTACCTTACCCTACCTAGACAAGTCTTGATGATGCAAAACCCAGTTCCCGTTACCGTGTGGCACGAGATTTTTGCGGGAGTTTATTTTTGCGGACTGGCGATTTTTTTGGGGGGGATGGGGAGGGACTAATTTTTGCGATAAGGGAAGATTGGTTTTTCTTGCTGGGAATTAGTTTTTGCGATTTTCAGAAAGTACACAGTGTCATTAAGCATTGATAATGTTTTCGTTTTTGTTAAGTAGGAGCAATATAAATAAATATTTTCAAACAATACTCTGGCAAGCGACTACCCTGTGTAAAACAAGTAATTCATTTAATACCGTTTTGTTTCTGAATGAAAGAGGCAAGTTGTAATTAAAAAAGTAACAGATATGATTTCTTAGTACTGTATTTCAGTTTGTGTCGGGAGAGCGAATTTAAGTTTACTTAGAGAATATTTACTCTGGAGAAAAATCTGGGGAAAAATGCTTGCTGTAGTTTGTTTCCGGGAACTTATTTTTGCGGATCGCCGTAAAAGCGCAAGATTTATAACCCGCAAAAATTTCGTGCCACACGGTATATTTTGTTTACAGTTTTAAAGGATATAAATATTTCTCCTGGATTTTTTGTGAAACACTATTAAAATCTTGGCGAGAATGCCCCTTTAATTTCCCTTGTGCTGCTGCCTAACTAAGGGACCGGTCATTATTTATCGCCTGTGGGGGGGGGGGGGGGGGGGGGGGTTTTGGGTAAAAAAAGTGGAAAATTGGGCCGTCCCCCCCTTAAAATGTTTTTTTATTAAGGTAACCCCCCCCCACAATTAATATAAATTTTTTTCTACCCCCCCCCCTGCCTTGTCCCCCTTTTCCCCTTTTACATCACAACCGCGACCTTGTGGGGTAGCGTCTGG